CAAAAAAAAAAAAAAAAAAAAATTAGCAGTTTGAAGTTTATCATAGAATGGATCTAAGTTAATATTTGCTATGTTTATTTTTGACCCAGTTTTTTAAAACAAAATTTGCTCAGATACTTTACAGAAACATCTCAATTTTAAAAATTAAGGAAAAGATTCAGAAGTGATATAGTTACCCAGTGTTTTGTCTTCCACAATTCTTATCTCATTTTCATTATGTGTGTTTCTTATTTCTAATTGTATGTATAAAAATGGAAATTTTCCAGAATTGGTATTTAGATAGTCATTTCTATCATTGTTACATTTCTTATGAAATAGCTCTAATCTTTTGGCTACTATTAATTCATTTTTCTGATATAATACATCAGATTAGAAAGCTGCTGGGAGATATAAAGTTAAGTCAAAGCAGAGTAGAGATAAATTATCATTAAAACTCACTCTCCCCACCATGTTTTAATTTTCAATTTATGGTTTTTATTGTTTTTGGTTTTGCTTAATTTACTGGAATAATTAAAAACTTTTTCTGTTATGCTATGGATATGGAGATTTGAGCACTTAATGAGCTCTGTTTTCTGGGTTAAGTAGCAATAAACTGAAGTGTAGTTTAATTAATAGATTTTTCAGGATGTTATGCATAACTTTCCATCCCCTAATTGGTTATACTCTTACCAGATTATTCCATTCTGAAATATTTTGGGAAGAAAGTAATTTTTCCTTTGCTTTGTTTTAATGAAGTAGAATTTTAAACCTAATCTTCCATTTTCCTAGAAAATTAGATATTTGGTTTATCAAAGAAACTAGTCTGAAGCTTTGAAGTATTGTCCTTACCCAGAAACCCTATGACTTGAGGCTCTGCTGAAGCCTGGCCCCTTTCATTAGAGGCTGCTGGGAAACAGACCTTGGGAAAAATAACAACTCTCTTGTTAATTATAATTTGGGTAAATAAGGTTTCATAGTATCAAGCCTGTTTTTAATTAGGCTGCCTTGATTCTTGGGCCGTGCAGTATTTCCTGTAAATTTTGTTTTGAAAGCTGGAAAACATTTCAGAAAGGTACCTCTAAGCACCGGGGTCCTATTATAGGGTGAAAGGCAGCCTCCTGGTGGTAGGACAGGGCTTGGTTGGGACGTCAAATGTGAAGGCACAATGGAAAAGCTTTATGATGGAAGCACTTTGTCCCCCTTATTCTGTCTTTCTCTCCATTAGAGTTTTTAATATAAATCAAAAGCTTCCCTTTTATTGTGGAAATCTTTTCAATAAGGCAGACTTGAGAAATTAATCAAATATAAAGCAGTTCTTACAGATACTTCAGCTTACGGGTCAAATGAATTGTTTTAATTTTCAAAAGAGAGCTTGTGGCTTTTTGAACTGTTTATTGACAAATGAAAATGTACACAATGATTGCTGTCTGTGGCAAAGATAGACAGGAAAAATGTCCTTTACCTAATGAGGGGAATGGAAATTTGATGCAAGGAATGTCTTTCTGGCTATGTTGTATCAAGGCCAGCCAACCGTTTAGAAAAATTAGTCATCAGCCAGTAAGGCAGCTCCAAATCTAGACACATTTATCCAAACAAGGAGATAAGCCAAACAGAGTTTCAGCACATTTGGTAAGAAAATATACAAACTACCCTGCCAGAAAGAGCTCCAAGAAGTTCACAACAGCCTTTTTAAAAAAACTTGCCATGGTGACAGATTTTTATTTTTAAAGCATTTTAACCCTGAGACCCTAAAACTTGGCTTGAATTCAGACCCATTCTCTGTAAAAGTGCCTCTTGCATGCAGAAAAGCATGGAACACACTGTGCCCACGGTTCAGTGTGCTGTTGCTGCCCGGGTCTTGGCGTAGTGCTCGGTGGCCCGGCTCCCTGTGCTGACCTCCAGCACCAA